TGTTTTACACACCTGCTGCGGAACACATGTTTGAGAGAGAAATGTAGCGAAGTTAAACATCGTTCACTGATGAAGAAAAATGCGATAACTAGAGCAATTACACTTTTACAATGTTAATCAAAATACGCACTATTCGGTACAACCCAAATAATCATAGTGTTCCATGTTATTTAACGGCGAAGAGACAAAATGCACGCGCATTTTTCCCATAGGAATGCATAGGAGCTCCACAAAAGTAGACTGGTTGCTGTCTGCTTCAATTTGCATCACGGAAGTCGCATAGACACTAGCGCCAGTTGAACCTCTAGCGTCATTATGATAATTCTATGTATTCAACCAAAGGGAATAACAAGAGACTCGTACCTTCGTATTTTAATGATAAAATGCTAGCTTAATAAAATCTACGTTTACAGGTGCAACAGAGCTTATGACAGCAATTTAAAAAAAAAGGCAGCTGCTTTAGTTCCCTGTGGGTGTATATTGCAATCCCACGTAGTATCAATTTTTCATGGCTACTTTCACTAAAAGAAAATAACTGAAAAAAAGTGAAGGCTGGGACAATTTAATTAAACCATTTTTTTTTAAATATGAGCTGGCTCTCTAACGAACACATGTGGATTGAACTAAAAAGAATAAAACGTTTATTGTTCATCGTGTTCTTTTGCGTTTACGGTGCAGAGTTCAATAGCCACGAAACGAATTTCCTCCGAAAAATGTCACTGTCTCTACGTGCCGCGGAGAGAGATAATAAACGCAAGTTCCAGTCACTGGGAGTTCTGATAAGGCTCAGTTCTTCGAACGAGTTTTACCGAAGTGACGAGCAATGGACCATTTTCACATAAAGACGACTCCAAGTGGCTAAAACTCCAACTAGGGTTGGTGGATGGATTGGAAGCTGCGATTCCTTTTCTGCCTTTTCTGCGGCTGATCCGAGTCGCCGAAGTGGCAGGAGGGGTAGTGCGACTATTCTTCCGGACGCCGACCGAAGTTAGAGCTTTCGCCACTGCGAGAGAAAGGCTTGCGCATGCGCAGAACCCTTCTTGAAAAAGGTTGATCGTTTGTTTGTTTATTTACTGACGATGATCATCAACAGCTGCATGCCTTTCCGGTAGTGAATCACAATACAAACAGAAAAGCACAATAAGTATTCTAACACTATACCACAAAAGCTTACTGTGGATACCCGACTTGGACATGGCAAGCGTTTAAACGTTTGTGCAAAAGTAACACACATTAGAGCTCTCTGTTTCTCCGAGAGTATGTCCGCATCGAGTTTACTTAGCAGCCAGTCTGGTAAACAAAATACAGTAGGACAAAACTACAGTGCCTGGTCTCACGTTTTGCAGCTCACGTCGCAATGATGTGTTACGTCACCAAACTGCACAGTATATAGCCTTCGGCACTAGACCGTGAATAACCGAATCGCGGTCTCTGGTCATCACGTCATTCGAGTTTATGAAAGCGTCCGTTAACGCTTACGCTACCCAAGTGGAATAAGGCTACTGCGCATGTTCAGAGCGGGTTTCACAGTCCGGTAGACACAGCTTGGCATAGCGCAGGAGGCAATTCTTGGAATGGTCTATAGCAGGGTGACAAAAAGCTAGCGATGCAAAACCATCGACAGCACTATCGATACTATCGATAGTAGAAGCCAAATTTGACTATGAATAGTTAAAAGAAAAATTGAGAAGTTTACAATTTTCTGTAACGCAGAATTAGAGCGCAGCTCTTGAAGAGAAGGAGGGGAGGGTGTGCCCCTCTTCTTTCCCCGCTAAATTTAGCGAAGAAATTTTTTCGCTAGATTTAGCGGGAAAAGAACGAATAATAAAAAAAGACACGGGAACATAAGTCACATCCTGCGTTCCTTACGTTGTCAATGACTAAAGCAAAAATTGGAGACAGTAACTACGAGGGTCACGAGGGTAACGTCACGACGTTACCCTCGTGACGTCACATATGACATCATACGTCATGTGTTTCCTATAATAACGTCACATGTGACGTCACGAGGGGACAACATTTTTTTATCACCAGCAGAGTGCTAATTTTCACCTGTCAGTGGTCAAGGCTATGAAAAGGAATATGTGCCAATTAAATAATAATGCAGACCCAAGCGTGAAACAAATTTGTGAAAACCCAGATACTAAACGTCTTCAGCGAGCGTTTTCCCTAGCTCCAAGACAAACTAAAAATGCTGAATATACTGAATAGTTTTACAAATGCGTGCATACTAAAGTGTGAAGCCTGATATTGGAACCCTATGAATATACAACAGATGTGCGCAGGATAACTAGCAAAGCGCCATTTGTTTTACCTTTAAATTAATTGTACGAGAATGCAACCATGTTTTGCCTCCTTTCAATTTCATGTAAACCACGCGTTGTCTGCCCGTACTACATATCCGTCGTTCTTCCCTTTTTGGGTAGTGCTTCAATTTTCCCAGCACTCGATAGTTTTCTGAAAGCTGCCTTTCGATAGCATCGATAGTCAACTAAATGCTAATTATCGATGGTCCACTATCAAAAGTTTCCGATACTATCGATAGCTTTGAAAAAAAAAAAAAAAAAAAAAACTATCGATAGTATTGAAGCCAATTTTTCGATAGTTTTGCACCACCACCAGACATACGCAGCGAGCCAAGAAATAATGAAACAAAACAACAACGAGAATTGAAGTGAAGAGCCTCAGTGTTTCTGCCAAGAGCACCCAGGCAATCTGTCCTTCTCTAAAAAAACACGTTTGATGCTACTATAACCACAACCTAAATATATATATATATATATATATATATATATATATATATATATATATATAAAGAAAAACGTGATAGTTCAGTTTTTTCTTTATCTTAAATGATGATAAGTGAATTCAATTGATAAAGCGACTTCTCATTATGTCTCTTTATTGTGCGTCTCAATTCATGAAACCAGCAGCTTGCAGTTCGGCTCGATCGAATGACGTCGTTGCAGTCTTGCGCAGCTCAGTCAGGTGTCTCTCTGTCAGAGACCTCGACTACGACACAGAATGGGGTGCAACACATATCTTGAATCGTGAAGCAAAAGTGCAAGCAGGCAGTCCCTGACATCCTTCACCCTGTTGTTCCGATGCACATACGATGGCTCAAGGCCGCTAAAAAGCAAGCTGGCTTTTATTCTCAGGAAGCTCGTAATGAGCGCCAGTAGAAACGAACACAAAAAAGCGGGACGCGGACAAGAGCGTCATGCATGAACTAAACCAACAGCCCTAGCTAAACTACCCGTATTTCATTCTATATATCTTTCTAAAACGTGATAGGCTTTTTAACGCTACCCCCAATCCCAAAACTTTGTCCGTTCGCCCGTGCGTCCGTCCGTTCGTTTTCCGCTAAATGTAGCGGGGAAAGTGGAATTCACGGAATGCCACCGGTGTCACGTGACCGATACACCTTGGGGAAATTGACGGCACGGGACCTATGCGTGAACTCAGTTCCTCCCCCAACCCTAAATATAGCTCGGAAATTCACTTCTTGTGGCCAAAACATCAATTCAGTTTGCCCGCTAAATTTAGAGGAAAATTGACGTCCTGTGACCTGTGATCCAGTTTCCCAGCTAAATTTAGCGAGAGAAATCGACATCACGTGACCTGACGTCACGTGACCTATACAACCATTCAGTTCCCCCGCTAAATTTGGTGGGAAAATATCCGTCACGTGAGGCACCCACTCCCTCACCGATTTTCTATGATGCATTTTATGCATTCTAGGACTTTGAACGTAAAGGTCGCTGCTAATTTGCTGATCCGGCGGAGGTTGCGCTCACCCGGGAGCCGCGTACCGCACTTGGACCCGCAAAGAGCCGGACCCGGAAAGAAAGTCGCCATTCGGCTACCTCACTGAGATTGAGGTATTGGAAGGACCAAAAACAAATCACGAAGCTGGAAACCTGAAGACGATACTTGGCGCTGTATACTATATACCTTATATATACTGGACCGAAATTTCAAGCCCAGAAAACAAGGCAGGACGGATAAGCGGAATGTTTCAAAACACCAAAACATCACTCGTATACAGCGATTAACGGATGGCCGTATTTTTGGAAAAGAAGTGCGCGACTGAACACGGCCGACGAGGCCCACGAGACAAGTCACGTAATGATTCCCATTCCCTCACCTCCTCGCTATACGATCCGTCGAGCTGATGAACCAAAGCGAGGAGGAGAGAAGCGAGGCCGCTTCCCCTCATTCTCATATTTTCTGGGGGGACAACGACGTCATAGCCCTCGCTTGATTGCGCCCTTCTTTTCCAAAAGTACGGCCATCCGTTTCAGACAACGATGGATGAGTGTTGTTTTGTTTAGCGCTTCTGCGGCCTTATTTTGCCAAATGCAAATTTCGGTTCAGTATTCGAAAAATGCTAAAAAGATTAAAAAAAAAAAAAATAAACGAGTAAGAGGTGAATTGTAGATTATTTTTATCGCGCGAATCTGAATATCACGTTCGCTTTCCCCGAAGATGTAACTAAATGTAAAAAACCACGAATAGGTTTTGGGCCGCCAAGCGCGTGTCGGTCGTATGGGCAGCGCGTGAAGTTGCAAGTTTGCCAAGTATCATCAGTGACACCAGTCGTGACGTCTTTTTCTGTCCTTTTTAAGATAGCAAGAGTGCGCGTGCATAGCTTTGGTAGTCGCCGAAAATGTGTGAGAGCGGATACTCCGAAAACTCTGGATATGACGTAACGCTTCGGGAACGAGGGGCTTCAGCGGTACTTCGAGAATGAAACGTCGTCTGCAGAAATCGCCCAGCGCCGCTCCGCTGACACCAATCGCTGCAGACGACGTCGTCCAGGTCCGTTGGTTCCGCTTCATTCTGCAGTGTAGCATAGGGCCTCTAAAGTCCTAATAAAGACGATTTAAGTGTTTTTAGTCAAATACAAACCGCTCCAGTTTCTCTGAGGGCTTTTGCCACCGCGAAATCTAGAAACGAACGCCAAGGAGGAGGCTGCTCGCACAAGCGTTGGCTCGCACCTCGCAGCAAAAGCGAACTTTGGCCGAGTCGACGAAGGTCTGCCAGTTGACGCCGATGGGCCTCTGGACGACGGGCAGCAGGTACCAGGACTGGGGCACGTACTGGGAGAACAGCTTCTGGAACTCCGCCTGCCACACCTGCTCCATGCCGCTGCGCTCGAAGATACACACGCCCACACACTGGTCAGAAATCGAGACGAACGTAAAACTTCTTCAGGAAATCTGGAGCTCCTACTTTCCCGCAAAGCCCTCGGAGAACCCTACAATGTACGGAGGGAGGTCTGCGAATGACGAGGCTGAGCGTTGGTTTAGACCTATATGTCTGCGCTGTGGCACTGATACCCTATTCACACGAGCATAAAGGTCCCTTTAGCTAAGGGACCTTTATGGCGAAAGGCGAATCAGTTCGCGATCCTCCGCGCGTGGCATATGCTCGCGATCTACTAGCGCGGGCTGATTCGCTGGCTGCAAAGGGACCTATGTTAAAGGTACCTTTATGCTGGTCGTGTGAATGGGGTATAATTCCCGAGTTCCATTAGAGGAACAAACAGGAACAACCGACCCCGACAAGCCTCAAACATGAGCAAAGTGCACGCGAATAAGGTGTCTTTGACAGGCTCGCAATCACCCGCGCTTACTACACGAGCACCAAGAGAGCCGTAAGCCTATCAAAGGTAGCGTCGTGCGCGCGCTGTACGTGGTTGAGGCTTGTCGGTGTCCGCTGCTTCTGTTTGTCGCTCCAATGGGACACGGTTATGAGCACGATGTTGCACGCAGTATGGAAGGTTCTGGTTGCACCATGCTCAGTTTCACAGCGCCGTCTGTATTTTTATTTATATTTATACAAATATTCAACCTTTATCATTTTGTAGATGGAAACCTTATCTTTAGATTACAGCGATTGCCTCCCTCCCCCAAGTGCTTTGCGGGAAAGCGGAAACTCCAGTTATCTTTGAGCGTAAACACCTTTCTATCGAGTTTATCATACCGGCGAAAAATGTCATGTGACCCGTAACGTTTTATACTCTAAAAACAAAAAACAAAAAAAGAAAAAAAAGCCACTACGCATGCTCCGAACGTGTTTCACAGCACAGCAGACAAAGATGGCAGCGCGCAGAAGGCGATTATTGGGAGGGTCTGTCTGTACCTCGATCCCCTCACGCGAATCTGGTTTCTGCGCGTGCGCAGTGCCCACACCTGCTGTGGACAAACGCGGACTTGTCTGGGAACTGCGTGTTGGCCAAAGCGGAGCGCAAGTTCACTGAAATGGCCAGCTGAACGAAAATAAACGAAAATTTCCGTAAGCATCATGAACCAACTGGCTCAGCTTCATCGCGCGCAAGTTCGTCTGCTTCTTTTGCAGTGGTTGTGGTGACGTCAGAAAGACGCCGAGTTCTGATTGGCTCTGATTGAAGGATAGTGGGTAGACCTCAAAGGCAGGCTGCCTTCGAGCTCTGCCCACTATCCTTCAATCAGAGCCAATTAGAGCTCGGCGTTCTGACGTCGCCACTACTCCCCCAAAAGAAGCAGACAAACTTTCGCTCCGCATAGCAGAAGACAAAATGCTCCACTTCGATACCCTTTTGATGATGTTTGATTGGATCCATCGAGTCGTAGCGTCGGGTCGTACCTAGACGGAGTATAAAACGTTCGAATATCAAGACCACCAACGAGCCGCTGCCGCTAGTCATCGACAGGAGCGCACGCAGCGAGGCAGACTTGCGAGCGCGGTGTGCGGGTGACCGACCGAGCAACCTCGAAGCCAGTGTGCGATTGGACGTTCGCCCATGCTGATGTCTTAATTTCCCGGTATTTGTCATCCGGCGTCCTTGCGGGCGTGCATTTACGCTGTCCCGGCATAATACGAGGCCGTTAGCTGCGAGTTTGCTCCCCGAATCTATACACAACCGCGCTCTTCCTATTTGCTCGGCCGATCACGCGGGGAGCTGCAGAACAGCGGGCCGTTACCATACATATATACGCTGAATCAGCAAGTCATAACATTTGTTGCGTGCATTTTTAGACAGCGTACTAGTTTTGCCTTGACATGAGGGGTGATTTCACCTACGGAGTACAGCTGCAAACGTGAAGTATTTAGCGTGCATTACGTAGTACAGTGATTACATGCCATGCACCGGTACCATATTCATTCAGATGAAAACAAACGGGGGCGGCGCGAAGAAACGAAAAAGAGTTTTAGCGTTGTGTTACCGTAATACCGTTATCGTTGACACCGTGCATGCCGGAACCGGGCCGAGAACGTAACGCAAGAAGAAAACAAGGTATAGGAAACGTCAATAAAAAAATGATTCGCATTACGTTTAATGGTATTACGGGGTAACGTTCTACTCAGACGTTCTGTAGTTGCGGCGGGAGCTGCGCACTCGTTGGTGACGCGTCTATCTTACGCCAGACGATAACGCTCCCACCCCATTCGTACGCGCAGAGAGCGGGGCAGGTGAGGAAAGGGAAGTGGAGGATTGTTCCAGCGAGCATGTAGCTTCCACCGCATTATCAGCTTGACGCAAACACACTTAACCCGTGTTCAGCGTGGAAAGTGTCGACTAGGCAACACTGTGCGACACTGTCAGTGCGAGGGTGAGAATGACACCTTCTTGAAATTTACTTCGAAAGGGTATTCGCAACTTTCAGCGTTAGTGGTACCGCGGCGTGAGAGTTGCGCTCCTTAGCACCTGCATGATAGGCTTCACAATAAATGTCTTGCCTGCACCTTACTGACGTGAAGAAAATTTAGTAAGTCTCTAATACTGTTCGTACATAGAAAAACTATAATTAATTACGCGTCACAGACCCAGCCTCGTAGTGCTGTACCATCATCAAGATGACAGCCATTTTGATAGGCACCAGTGCGCCCCCTATAGTTTGTGAAAGGTGCGGATACTGTATGACCAACGTGACGTCATAGGAGGAAGACCTCGTGTGACGTCACAAAGACAGTCCGCAGACAGGAGACGTCATACGAGGAGGACCTCAGACAGTATCTCTGGAGGCTGTCTTTCGTAAAATTTATGAGCAGTGTGACCGCAGATTAAGAGGCATAAAGAGACGTAAAAAATAATAATTATTAATTCCTTTCGTTGGTGTTTGAAAAAAGAAAGAAAAAAAAGAAACTCAATTTGTTATTCCATTCGCAGTTGCAGCAGGTGCAGCATCGTCTGCCCCATTTCCACTTGTTGACGAAAAAAAAAAGAAAGCGCGACGGGGTCTGGATTTTGTTTTACGTGGCTATGCGTTCGAAATGCTTCCAGGCAAGCGGTTAAAACACAACAAAAATCAAAGCAAGGGGAAAAAAAAAAAAAACGTTCCAGCAAAAGGAAAACGCGCAGCTGTTGTCGCCGTGCCGCTAAAGCGACCACGTTTGAGCGCAGCAGGAAGACGCATATGACACTTTTTTTCTCTCTCTCGTTCGCTTGGTTTTTGGTGTTTCACCCCATTGCTCTTTCTTGGGGGACGATTCAGTTCAGCCACCGCGAATTGGAGGGTCACGGGTCGCGCAACGTGCTACAGAAATACTCTCTCTTTCGGCTTAGTTTTAGTAAGCAATGCACGACACGTGTGTTTAGCGTGAATATTGTTTTCAGTTAGGCCAGTGCTTCCAAAACTCTGCGACCCATCAAATATATAAAATAAAAAGTCGGGACCGCCTCCTTCGTCCCCCCCCCCCCCCCCCCCCCTTTTTTTTTCCCCTAGGTTTCCGGGGATGCCACAAGCTTTTCGACTTTTGTACATGAGGAGTAATACACATGATTCATGATTGACCCTGAAATGTTTTTTGGGCAGTTATTATAGTATGAATAAAACAACTAAGATAAAAACCATCTCAAGAACTTGCACTTCTGCCGCAGAGAAGTCAAGTTCGCGTCTTTTTTCAAGTTCTCTCGAGCCCCTTCGCGACACCGCCTGGGGTTCGCGACCCACAGTTTTGGGAAGCACTGATTTTGGGTAGCAGTTAAGCGGACGACGTTCCTTTTACTCCAGTAAAGGAACACCGTCTACGAAACTGGGAGCCTCCTTCGTGGTCGCAGTTTCGTCTCTGGGAACGAAGACTGAGCGCGCATAATGGCATGCCCTGGGTGCTACCGCTGTTTTTCGCAACTCGCTCAGACAGAGCACGCGCACCTTTTAGGAAAAGAGACTCTCGGCGTTTCTGCGTACCGCTCGTATGCGCTCAGACATGTTATGAACCTTTGAAACTGTCTATAGACAGACACGAGACATGTAATGTATAACAGACTCCAACAAGCAAAAACAAACTAAAAATACAAATATATATATATATAGATATGTATATGAATGACGCACTGCTATTCGACTCCAACTGCTGTTTCCCGACGCCCTCAACCCCCCCCCCCCCAAAAAAAAAAAAAAAAAAAAATATATATATATATATATATATATTTTTTTTTTTTTTTTTTGGGGGGGGGGGGGGGGGGTGAGGGCGTCGGGAAACAGCAGTTGGAGTCGAATAGTACTGCGTCATTCATAGCCTTCACAGTGCTCGGTATAGACCGCGCTGAAGCTAAGAATTATGCTGCGCCATTGGATTCGAACCGCTTTTCGCCCTCCCCTACAGGCTCTCTTGTTTTGTTTACTGCACTGCGCTGCGCGAGAGCCTATTTATCATTGTCATGGTCCAGATCACAGAAAATCAGCGCGCGCGCAGGCAAGGGTCAACAACAGAGCGCACGATCGCCGTTTCGCCGGAGCAGGGACCCTTCGTCTTAGGTAGCGTGCTGTCATGCCTACATCACTGGCGGCTAGACGTTCTGTTTCCATTCAAAGTAAATACGCAATGAAGGCAACTCTTGCTGTCTTATTAAGCGTTCATCGGTAATTACATCAGCATAATAGCCCCGAACACAAAACGCAGCGTACCCAGGAGTACACGGCGTCAAATACTAGATCGAGTAAACAAAAATAAATTAAAAAAAAATACTGAGAGGAGCTTGTGGGCTGAATTTCTGCGAGGACTCGTTGCAAACTACGTTGAAATGCGATAACATCGGGGGGGCTTGCCATCTAGGAGGTCTATATTTCGTTGATTAAATTGCGACCTCTAGAGAATATAACTCTACTCGGCGTCAACCCTTTAGTTTTATGTTGTCAAGGCTAGCATAGCTTCCGGAGTGCTTCAGCGCGTTTCCCTTGCATTAGATCGA